TGGTCTAAAAGCGCGATGATCACTACAGGTTGTAACTTTCATTTTCATTTACATTTACATTTTTTTAATGCGTTGGCGATTTGTGTGAGTCTGGATCGGTTAAAAACAATATAACATTGGCAAAAAAAAAAAGATGAACTAAAATATCAGAGAATTTCTGGTGATGAAGAGGTCTGGGAAAATACCAGTGGGGGCGGGTCTCATCAAAAGACATGTTTGTGTGGGTTATAAAAAAATCCCTTTTGTGCAAAGCTGCCTATCTTGCCTATAGTGCCTAAAAAAGATTGCAGAGAAGAAAACAACCTAAAGGCAGTCTCGTTGGCCTTTTTCTGCACTTACCTCTCAAACATCTGAGCAACCAGCTTTGCTTCTAGAAACATGTTAATTGACAACGGAGCTCATTACTGCATGCACATGTAACGCGGCGAGAGGGATTATAGGGACAAGAGCGCATTAATGAACTGTCAACAGCGGAGAGCATGTACACGACAGAGATCAGCCGAAATTGAGGCATTTACAAGCGACAAAAGCCCGGCTGAGACAGGAAGAAAAAAAGACCCAGACTTTTGTTTGGTCAACTCAATTGATTGTAAATGGAAGATTAACGGGGGTAGCGTCAGCATTTTTAAGGGGGCGCGGAAGAAAAGGCCCCAATTAAGTCCACCAAACGTTAACTACATCGTTTCTCTCAGTTTAACCCAAATTAAATTCTAATTAAACCGTCCTCCTTCCATCATTTTGGAAAGCAATTTCTCTCCCAGTTGGAGAAGAGCGGGCTAGTTGTAGTACTTGTTAAGAGAAGCGTTGCTTCTTGGCACAAAGCGCTCGCGAAAAGCATTGTTGCGCGCCGAGGGGAAAGTTAATGAGCGTCATGCGCGCGCTCTTTGGATCCGTTCCTACGGATCGGTGTTGAAAAGACGGACTCAGCCAAGCGACCGCATGGTGTTCTGTACACGGATTTATGTCCAAAAAGATGATGATAAAGAAGGTCAACCTGACAATATGTTGTTTAATCCAGTTTCATAGGCTGTGAACAGTCATTCAACGAATAACCGAGACAGCAGAGGCTATTCACTCAAATAAAATTAAAGTAGGCATTCTCAAATAAAAATACGTAAAAAAAATACAATTTATACAAAAATGACGAATACATATCTACAATACATATCTACTGTGATGAAAAATGTCAATCACAGAAAAAGGGTAACTTTCGTGGCAGAAAGAATAAATTAAAATGTAAAATATCTCATTAAAAGCGGAAATGTATTAAACTAGCTAACTAAATTTAGTAGTAAAGCAACATTTTCTTCTAAAATATTTGAAATATTTGAAAATATTTTATCCGCCAAATTAAAGTGGTGTAACCAACATAAGAAAGACACAAGAAAGCCATAAGAAATGATAAGAAAGAAAAACAAATCATAACATTTTTCATACTTTTTATATAAAAAAGGCATAGGTAGCTCAAGTCAAATGCAGTAACAGCCAGAAAGCAAGAAAACGAAATGAAAAAAAAAAACACAAGTTGTGTACTATCACACATAACCAATGTACTTTTTTTAATTGATAGACACCACACATTTTTTTTTAAATGTTGAAAAATATTTTTAAAAAGAAAAAAAATACCTTCAACAATTCTTGTCACTTGTCTTAAAAACAAAGAACTTGGCATACATATTTTTAAAAAATTATGATTTCAGACATCCTTGTTTACACATGGATGTTTGAAATAAAGTCACATGCAAAAAGAGAAATGAAACATGCTTTGAGAGTTCACATTCCCATTCCTAAATGAGCAGGATCAGGCATTACCCACGCAGGGCCTTGAGTGGCAGACAGCGGTGCCCCCTTCGCTGCGTTCGGCCTGCTCGTCAAGGGCACGCTCAGAGAAGGAGCTTTATTGCTCTAAGGTGTTGAGGCAGCCGCACGGTAGTTGAGTGCAGGGACTCTGCCTCGCCGGAATTACATCAATGTCAGTCTCGGGTATGACCTCCATTCAGAAGCAGTCTTGAGGGCTTCAGGCCACGCAGCTGAAGGGGACCTTCTGTCCCCTCGTCCAACTCTTTACCCACAATGTCTTAAAAGAGACGAAGGTCTGACCTCAAAACAATCTGTTCTATATTCAACAATCTCAGCGCCCTATTATATAAATATGAATGCAAGTGACGCATTGTGTTAGCAAATAAGGGATATGGGCTAAAGGAAACTGCTAAATGAAATCTAAGGCTTATCAGCAGATCTCCAATAGTTATCTGTTTAAATTGCTGTATTGCTTCTATAGAGGAGTGACCTGTAATCAGTCTCATTGTTTGCCAGGATCAGTAAATCTGGGATGTCCGGTGCTAATCTTTTGACCCAGGATGCCCTTTCAGAACAACCTCCACTCCGTTTCCCAATGGATGGGTCTTAATTAACTCAGACCAAAAACCCTGCTGTTAAGCTGGTACTCTCTTCAATACACCAAGTTAGAATGTAGGGGATTTGATATAAAGCGATGTGTCACTCACTGATCCCTTAGGCTGTGATTTTACGCCCAGTCTGTGGTGGGTTTCTGAACAAAATATAGTCCAATCCATATACAATTTTATTGGCATCTATGGTTCCACGAAGAAGCTTGAACATCCATGGAAACTTTCCATTGTACTTTTTAGTGGAAAAAGGTTCCAAAAGTTCTTCACAATAAGAAACCCCCAAGGGCATTGCTGAGAAAATCTTTAGAACCTTTATTTTTAAGAGTGTAAAACATAAATACATGACTACACACAAACAAGCAATGCGCACTCAAACTACTGCCAGAAATGTTGGGATGGAGTGGATGTTTTGACTACTTGGATTAATGGGATCCAGTGTGGTAAATGGGGAAAATAACAATATTGAAACCCAAAATCAATACAAAACAGAATGACGTATAAGTTAGCCAGAACAAAAACACAACAGGAGTCCCCTCATGACCAGCACTAGTGCTGGAATAATAGTTTCAAGAATGGAGAGAATTCCCCAACAGGCTCCCAAGCAAAAGCTATTTGTGTTTAAGTGCACTACATTGACAAAGATCTTTAGTTGTGAAAAGCTCCTTTGATAGAAATGGGTGGTACGTTTCTGATGGAAGTCGAGCTTTTTTCGCTAAGGGAATTTTTAAATATTTATACCGTTGCAGAGCTCTAATGATCAGAGATGAATGAAAATACTAAAAAATTTCATTATGTATTTTTATTTAGTAATTTTACTATTATTCAAACAAAGTGCCATAATCCTCAACATAATCAGGCTTTCTTGTAACAGCAACTATGCCATTTTTACAGACACAAGTTATTCAGTAACAAACAACTTTGTTCTATCTTCTTACGATAGTGTTCTGAAGATCTGGCTGATGGCCAGGTGTCTGAAGCCCAGAGCTGATCAACAACATTTGGCCTTGGCCTGTGCCTGGGCTCTGACAGCCTCAGTTGGCAGTGGTATCCGTAGCCAAACCACCTCAGGGCTTTCCCTATTAGAATACATAATGCAGAACTAGTCATTTGGAAGGGCTCCAGATCGTGCTCTTCAAAACCCTTTTAGATAATTTGCTGTCGTGCCCTCCACCCACACCCAGAATTCTCCACTCCTCCACAGCCAACCAACCCCCCTGCCAATTTGGAAGCCTTGACTGGTGCCCTGACCTCAGGGGCAGGAGTCCCAGCTGAGGAGGAAGGGCAGCTGCCAACCACCACCACTTCAACTGTGACCATCCAGATGATCGCGTTTGTCAAGCCGCCACTCCGTGTCACCCTGAACTGGTTTGATCATCCAATTAGGCTAGGACACGGTCTGCAATCTCTCCCTCCATGGAGGGACGATAGACAAGACAGTGAACGAGTATGAGAAAAAAAATTCAGGATTAAACAGTATATGCACTCAAAGTCAATAAAAAATATATATGTTTGTTATATATACCCACTTAGATACAAGCTACTTTAGAGCTTGTTTCATGCCTGGATTCCCAAAACCACCAGTCTGAATATGAGAAAACGCTAATTAAACAACAAACCTAATCAAAGAACAAATCAAATGTGTCATTTTCAGAATTATAGACAACTTAACTCTCAACTCAAGTGGCTGACCCTTCAACAGACAGGCAATACAAGAGCAATTATCACATGGACAGTCCAAGTGCTCTGATAGGCTTTGTGTGATGGCAGTCATGACCTCATTGTTGTTGAGGGTTCAGGAAGGAGGCAATGAGGTTTAGGGGTGCATTTAAAAGCAACATTTTTGCACACAAATTTTCTCACACAAATTTGCATTTGTGCATCTTGAGACAAGATTTTTTATTTAAACTGGACATCAGAAAATGTTCTTGAAGATACTAGTAATGCTTAGCATTGCATAATGCAACTCAGATACAGGTTAAATAGTGGGTTAGGAGGAAATAGAATGGTAAATTTATTTTACTTGAAAACATGTTTATTATTTGACACTATATGGATAATCCTTTTTTTACTTGTAAAGGAAAACTAATCTGAACTCATTTTAAAGTAACTTCAATAAGACCATTTAATTTCATTGCTAACTGCACAAATAATAGTTTTAATACTTCACTGTAAATCACAGCTGATTTTTACAAGTGATTCATTCATTTATTTTTCGATACACAGTTGTGTAGTTACAGAACATGTAGTCAGTATTGCCCCCATGTGGATGCACTTGTGCATGTGAATGTTAATGCACTACTGAATGAACACATTTATTCTGTATTTGCATATATAATATTTAAATCAAATATATAACACACAAAAAAAAAAAAATAACAATTTGGGGCAAAAAAATATAAATAAGTTACACACCAGACAGCTCATCTAGGTTTGGGTCGAGGTGGTTTACCCTTGCATTGTGCAGGGGAGGGATCTTGCTGTCTAGTTTTCAGTTTCTGTTGTCTAAGCAATCTCCCAGTCTCACTCACCGGCGATTGCTCTTTCCCAAGCAAATACTGCTCCCATTCTGGCAGTTTCCGTTCAAAAAAAATAAATAAATAAAAATAACAATTTGGGGCAAAAAAATATAAATAAGTTACACACCAGACAGCTCATCTAGGTTTGGGTCGAGGTGGTTTACCCTTGCATTGTGCAGGGGAGGGATCTTGCTGTCTAGGTTTCAGTTTCTGTTGTCTAAGCAATCTCCCAGTCTCACTCACCGGCGATTGCTCTTTCCCAAGCAAATACTGCTCCCATTCTGGCAGTTTCCGTTCAACTGAGGCCCAATAATGAGTCTATGACAGGACAACAAAAGATCAACTTGTTAAAGGAGCAGATAACTCATAAATATTTATTTCTGTATCATATTCTTAAAGGGGTCACCGGATGACAATTTTCCACAAGCTGATATGATTCTTTAGGGTCTTAATGAAAAGTCTATACTTTGGTTAACATTTCTCAATGGTAGTGTAAAAAACAGCTCTGTTTTCATCAAGTCGTTTTAGTCCATGTTCCTTTAAATGCTAATGAGCTCTGCTCACCCCGCCCCTCTCTTCCGTGGGGTGACAGCAATACCAGGGCTCTACGGATACTTTTCTTTTTAGGAGCGCTAATTAAAAAAATTTAGGAGCACCTTCTAATCAGTAATCAAAAATTCTGATAAAAAAAATTAACCTTCCCATTACGAGGTGATATTTGACTCAGTGATTTATAGGGAATTTTGTTTTTACCTTTGTAATGGGATTTTTCTAACTTTATTAAAAGCTCTCACAAAACTCCATTATAATCGACGAAGCTCCCTACACTGAACAATGAATATCTTATTTACACCCCGTCAACACTTTGTTTGTTATAATGAGAGGATATGTCTGAGATACATTACTCAACGCTGTAGAAACACAGTAAGCACGTTAGAACGTTTGAAGCTCCCTCAGCGCAAACACACATATGCTGATCGGGTCAGTCGCACAGGTGCTCCTAAATATGATTTCATAGTCGCACGCAGTAGTTTTCAGTGGCAAGGAGGGGCCTGTGCAGAACTACGTCATTCAGACAGGAATCTCAGAACAGCCTGATTTGAGAAAGGGGATTTTAAAATAGGGATTTTTTTTAAAAACACTGGGTGGATTTTTATCATTATAGGGTGGATGTGTACACACGCTTCCAACACACATTTATGTTCAAACAACATGCAAAGTGAATTTTGCACCCGATGACCCCTTTAAATCTTAAGCAGGTAAAACATTTCATGCTGGCATCTGCATTTAAACTACAGCAGCTGTCTTATTGCATTTTAAAAACACATGTCATTCCATTCCCTTTATAACCGTACCTTTTCGATTCATTATGACAGCCCTGATGGGCACACAGTTTCTTGGGGAAAGATGCCGTTGGCATCATATACACATGCAAAAAAGTACTTCAAATGCAAGATTTACTATTGCATGTGTTCAAAAAAGAAACACTGTGCAAGTTTTATTTTATAAGATGTAACTAATACCTCAAGGTTAATAATATCTGGGTGAAGCAGCTGTCTGGTTTGAAGATTTTTTTCAGCATTCTGTAAATCCTACAACAGAAATAAGCCATAAATACAAACAATTATATTATAATACAATTATATATATCCTCCTGAGAACCAGAAATAAAAAGCTTTGTGAATTTAGTATTTTTTCATGTCATTACATTGTTTAGAGCATAAGAAAAAAATTGTTAATGCTATGTCCTCTGTAGAGGACACCGGGACTCAGTTTTTCTAAAAAATAAAATGACAAGAGTAGACATGAAAAGAGAGAGAGCTAGATAGATAGATAAGACTGAGAAGTCAAACAAACTAATACACAGAATAAAAAACAAAAACATCTTAAAAAGACTGAATTGTAGTCATAAAATTTCTTCTATGTTAATTTGACTATAATAAATCAAATAAAAACCCTTTTACTGTACTATAATAGAGCTCTGTGAAGCACCTAGTTTAGAATACATAATTGTATCATAAATATATAGCACAGTGTATGTATAACACAGAGCACACAGTAGAGAAACCTCAAGGATCTGAGCATTCCTCTCCTTCGCTGCTTGAGACATCAGACACTGCTGTTTCTTCTTAGCCTTCTGCTGTTCATAATGCGCTTCCATCTGCTGCAGCAGTGATGCTCTTTTCCTCAGTCTACATGAGAAAAATTACATTCATTAAGCCGTTTAGATTCATAACAAGGATTGAATAATTAAAAATAGGACTAAGAGAAGCCTTTTAACCGATGAGTACAACTGAAAAGACTCACATATCTTCATGTTTCTGGCTGAGTTCAAACTCTTCGTGTGTATAAGAGGCCATTTAATGTAGTTTCAAAGACAAACTCGACCTCTGTCGCTTGACTGAAACTTAATCAAAAGCTCGCTACTATACACATTCAAAAACCTCACACTGTTACAACAACCACGGCTGTTGCTCTGCGACACCATGGTATCCGGAAGCAAAGCTCCAAACTGAAGCCTGCGGTGGCCATAACTACCAACTACCATGTGTGCGGAAATGACAGCTCGTGAGCAAAAGTTTAGGACAAGTAATGCTCTTTTCCCCAGTCTACATGAGAAAAATTACATTCATTAAGCCGTTTAGATTCATAACAAGGATTGAATAATTAAAAATAGGACTAAGAGAAGCCTTTTAACCGATGAGTACAACTGAAAAGACTCACATATCTTCATGTTTCTGGCTGAGTTCAAACTCTTCGTGTGTATAAGAGGCCATTTAATGTAGTTTCAAAGACAAACTCGACCTCTGTCGCTTGACTGAAACTTAATCAAAAGCTCGCTACTATACACATTCAAAAACCTCACACTGTTACAACAACCACGGCTGTTGCTCTGCGACACCATGGTATCCGGAAGCAAAGCTCCAAACTGAAGCCTGCGGTGGCCATAACTACCAACTACCATGTGTGCGGAAATGACAGCTCGTGAGCAAAAGTTTAGGACAAGTGCGCCCTCTATTGTTGGGAAGAGTTAAATGAACATAGAGTAGTTTAAAGTTACGTTTTGAAATGTTTAAACGTTGAAAAAATAATATATATATATATATATATAGTTTTTTCTTTTTTCATTTAACTTTTAATTATTAAATCATTAAATTAGGGTCGGCTTAAATTATCCATTCCCTATTTTGATAAGTCAGTTATAACTTAAATGCACACACTAAAAGCAGCTTCAAAGATAGAAAATGTTTTACTATCCTTGTGGGGACATTTGGTCCTTTCAATGTAGCATAAACACAAGCACACACACACACACACACACACACAATCCCTAGACAGAAAATCAGTACAATAGTTCTTACAACAGGGGGAGATGGAGAGAAAGAAAAACGAAATATGCCAACAGGGGATCGGTCTGTTTATTGCAGGAGTAATGGAAGGATAAAAACAACAACAAACTTGTTTTCGTCCATCTATTGTTACTACATTATATGTTTTCAATGATTCAGCAGATACTGTATATCTACCGAGCTACTGATGTTCAACAGTCTCACTATTTTATCAGTAGAGGGACTATTGGCTTTAACAGTAGAGCTGTAATACACTAAAGCTGTTAAAGACTGACTGATAGTTCAGCTGTTTATCATCACATTTAGACTGTTAATCAATGGCCTTAATGATCCACCTATAGGAATGGCATAATTTGGTGAACAAAATATAGGGGCTGAAACCTCAGAACATATTTGTATATAAGTATTGCATATAATCTGCTACTGAGATATCAGTTTATCTACAGCATAGATTCATAGCTGTCAGCATGTGACTGTTACGATTCTTTCTTGGTTACCAGTCCTACATAGGAGAAACGAAACAAAAAAACAACAGCTTCACTTTATCTCAAGGGTTGCCATGTCTTGCATTAATGTACCACCACAACAAAGCTAAAAGCCTTTCAGCTATTGAGAATGTCTCTATAATTCCTTCCCGACTCAATTTAAAACCCAATTACTTGAAACGAAGGAACAAATTAGTAAATTGTAAGCACAATTAAATTTTTTCCCGTATTGCGATACTGCGGTCTCAAATAGAAACCATGCAGTCACGTTACTTCCTCTGCTCTGTGCTTACACATAATCTGTTTCTACTTTATTACAATTAAGCAACATACATCTTTAAAATAAAAATTCAAAATTAATAAATAAAAACAGACATAAAAATGTTAAAATGATTTACTGGTGCTAATTTTCATAGTGCAGCCTTGATTCATCACCACAAATGTAAGTATTTTACCATACATAAACATATATATATATATATATATATCAATCTGACACTTGATTTGAGCCATGAAAGTTATTCCAATATATTTTCTGTAAAAAAAAAACGGAACAAATGCTTAAAACTTCTAAGACTGAACTTTATTTGGAAGCTTTCATATTACAGTCATGTTTCACTTGATCTCTTCTTCACATTACCGTGAAGAGATTGTATCATCTATTATCAGCAGCAGCACCAGAAGACATTCATCATTCATCATCTTTTCATCTCGCTCTTCTACACTTTCATTGTTTTCACAATTACATTATATTATATGCATTTGACACTTTCATCCAAAGCAACTTCCAGTGCATTCAAGGCAAACATTTTATCAGTGCACTGTACTTATGTTTTTTCTTCATTTATTTTGTCCCTGCTGTCCACTCCCTTTGCTGCCTATTATTTGTAGCATGACTGAATGTTTAACTTTTGCTATGTACCTCACCTGACAGAATCTTCTTGGGGCCCCAGACAAACTGTTCTTGGGGCTTGAAATATTTAAAGGCAGATCTAACCAGCTCTCGTCTCTCTGATTTTTCCAAAACAGCATACATAAAGTAATCTAGTACACTTTGTTTTAGACTTTTAAGATGTCCGACCACAAGAGTTTCATGGAGAAAAAACTTGACCAATGGGGCCTGGTAGTGCTTCAGTAGTCCCCAATCACTTCACTGCACAAACAAAGGTAATGTGTTTAAGAGCATGCTTTCTTTGAACATAACTTGTATTAGATAAAAAAATTGATTATGATTATGATTTAACTACAGAATGAGCACAATGCCATGCCATCAGGTGAAGATTTTATTCGACCATATTAAAATTATAGGTTATAGAAGCGGCCCTTGAGAACAAATAATAAAAAAAACACTGTACAACCCGATTGCCAATCATCTTCTCCAATTCAAGGCTACTTAGTGGGCTGTGAAACCAAATAGAGTTTTGTGTAAATGATACACTAAACCCACTGACATGCTAGGTGGCAAAGTCTGAGTGTAATAGTATAGTGGATTTTTTACTTCATATGGCTCATCATCAAAGTTCTATAATCAGAACAAATACAATGCAAAATTGTCATGTAAAACTGAGTTTTGACACTAGTAGACAGCAGGTTTTCACAATATTTAGACATTTACTTTTGTGTTTAGATTCTCACCTACATTTTTCTCATACAATATGTCAATGGATGAATGCAAGTTGGCATGTTTATTTTAAATAGAGGAGTGGGGTAAGATGTTTTTTTTTTTTTAGGAGAAACAGATATCTTCATAAAAATGCTTCATGCACAAGCTTTACCCCTCTCATTTTTTAAGACAGACTTACCCGGCAGCTATGTCGAAAGTCTTGCATGTCCCCTGCAGCTTTCATGTTCCTGCAACAACTTCTGTGCAACACCTGTAAACAGAAATCCCAAATGAGACAGTTGTTTGTAAAACCTTTTTATATTCATAGATATTCATAGAAATAGAAAGTGGGAAGAATGGGAATTATTATAATACGAAGTTTCTTAAAACGGGTACTGTTTATTCAATAATAATAATACTAATGATGATAATAATAATAATAATAATAATAATAATAGGCCTAATTACCTTCAGTTAGTTATGAATCTGATTAAAAAAAGGAAGCTGAGGACGGTGTAGATCACATGGAATGTTATAGAGCGTTATGTAAGCTAGCCTATAGTTCGTAAATAAAATCAAAAATAGAACCAATGGATAAATAATAACTAGGCTACTAACAAATGCAAGGATGTTACTACTGTGTGCATGCTGTTGTAGGATTAATTACAACAACAAGAGAGACTACCAAATGAAAGTGAAAATTGCATAGCACTGAAATCTAAGCATAGGCCTGCCTTCTTTCTTGGTGCTTTATGTTCGTATTCATCTAAACAAATTCACACTCATTATCTGACTCCATGTTAAGTATATTGGTTGTAAACTCAGGGGCCTGATTCACAAAAATCTTCTTAAGACATTTCTGAAGTTCGTAAGATTTTTCCTAAGTGCAATTCTCAAGAAAGTTCTGAAATATTTTCCTATGAACTTCACTCCTATTTTTCTCAAGAATAGAATGGCAGTTATCTGGTGAGAGCGGTTCTTTCTGAATACCGATCAGTTCAATGGAGAAAAAAAAACGTCTGGCTGCCTGCAGATTAATGCAGATTTTATTTAAAAAATCGCACCCAGGCCCAGTTAGACAGCGCCAAGTTCAAGTATATATATATATATATATATATATAAAACATAAAGCAGACACAAGGATTCATGCAGACTCTACACGCCTGCCTATAAAGTGCTCAACCACTCCCACAGTCAAGAGAAAATTAAAGCTGAAGGTCACGGTGAACCGAAAGTACAGTTCAACAAGAATGACACAACTCCAGTTTACTCAAGGGTTGCCATGTCTTGCATTAATGTTCAGACTTAGACAAAAAGCAGGTTACAAAAAAAATCTAAAAGAAGGTCTAGACTAATCTGGCACATATTTTTGCTATTTTCAGGATCAACCTTTAATTATAATCATTAGAAAAATATTCTAAAAACAAAAATCTTTTTTATTTTATTTGATATCTATTACATAGGCTTACTCGTCTTTGCAATATGTTCAGTGTGGTTTATAACATGCTCTATTTTAGCATCATATTTGCATCAGTAAAAGCAGAATTTTATCAGCAGGAAGACATTTATTTGCTTCAGCAGTAGACATCCTAATAATAATAACAACAACAACAAAAAAATCACCTTTAAGAATAAAACCTCACCTTATAAATTATGAAGTTGCCTCTCTTCGGGAGGATGACTTGCATCTATTTTTCTTCATTTCATGTTTGCTCTCATGGAAATCCACTTTTCTGCAATGCTACTCTCTTAATTCTCTAACTCCAAACTTTAATAATGATCTTGATAACAATATTCTTAAACAAACCAAAAACTTTAAACAGCTTTAATATTTATTTGATTTCCATGACATGTTTAGTGTGGTTTATAACAGGCTTTATTTAAGCATTTTATTTTATTAGCTAAATTACATGATTAAATATTGAACTTTTCAAAACTCACACGTCAACTTCAGGCATAAAGAAATTTCCAGTGTTCTCCAAAAATAATTCATCAGAGTAGACAAAATCATAAAACTCACATATCTAACATTTACTGGTGCTAATTTTCATAGTGCAACTTTGCTTCATCACAATTTCACTACTTCATTTCCTGTAAAGCAGTCAGGCTTTAGTCAAAGATGTTTTGTCAGTGAAGAGTTTACATTTACTTTTTTAGCAGTTAACAATTTATCAGTACATTAACAATTCATCACTACAATCCATAAAAAATCAAGATAAGAAAAAAAACATCAATATAATATTACATTTCCTACACAAAAATGACAGACAAATGTACTTTTATGATGCCATTTCTTTTTCCTTCTGACAATCTGCTAAACAAGCAAAAAAACATTCATCTTTAAGAATAGCACTTTAACTTAATTCATAAAGAACATTCCAATATATTTTCTGTGAATTAATTTAGAAAAACAAATATGAAAACTCATAAGACTAGCATTTACAGTGCTTGTTAATTTTCCTATTACGTTTCATTAATCACCCTCATTTTTATGGCAGATGTCAGAAAAAGCCCCTTCTTTAAACTGGTGAAGAAGACCATCATTTCATCCCCATGAGACATGTTTGCTGGTGTTATGTAATCGATATCATCACAATCACTCATCTCTTGATGTTGCTTTACTACGCTTTCATTTTCTGAGCTGCACTGACTGCTCATTTGCTCCCTAATAAGTCATATTTTTTGCTGTCAATTTGTTTGGACTAACTGGCTTCACCCTTTACTGCTCATTTTCAGATTTTTCATGTTTATTTTCAGTTGAATCCTTTATTTCTACATTATGAACCTGACATGAAGACCCCTCTTTAGTTTGGTGAGAACCACTAGCAGCATCATGACCATGAGACATGTTTGCTGGTGCTGTTTTCTCATTATCGTCACTAACACTGACACTATTTGTTTCAGTCAATTTGTTTGGAATAACTGGCTCATTCTTATTTTGGTGATCTTTTTTACTTTTCATCTCTTCAGGAGAAAGACTAGCCTCTATTTTTTCAATTTCATGTTTGCTCTCATGGGGATTCAACATTTTGTGGTTATCTTCTGAGTCTTTATCTTCAGTTTCATCTTTCATTTCTACGTCATGCACTTGACATCAAGGCCCCTCTTTAGTTTGGTGAGAACCACAAAAAGCATCATAACCATGAGACTTGCTAGCTGGTGCTATGTTTTCGTTATTATCACTAACACCAACACCAACACCATCACCAACACCAACACTCATTTCATGATTTTGCTTTACTACATTCCCATTGTCTGAGCTGCACTGTCTGCTCTTCTGATCACTATTTGTTTCAGTCAATTTGTTTGGAATAACTGGCTCATTCTTATTTTGGTGATCTTTTTTACTTTTCATCTCTTCAGGAGAAAGACTAGCCTCTATTTTTTCAATTTCATGTTTGCTCTCATGGGGATTCAACATTTTGTGGTTATCTTCTGAGTCTTTATCTTCAGTTTCATCTTTCATTTCTACGTCATGCACTTGACATCAAGGCCCCTCTTTAGTTTGGTGAGAACCACAAAAAGCATCATAACCATGAGACTTGCTAGCTGGTGCTATGTTTTCGTTATTATCACTAACACCAACACCAACACTCATTTCATGATTTTGCTTTACTACATCTCCATTGTCTGAGCTGCACTGTCTGCTCTCCTGATCACTATTTGTTTCAGTCAATTTGTTTGGAATAACTGGCTCATTCTTATTTTGGTGATCTTTTTTACTTTTCATCTCTTCAGGAGAAAGACTAGCCTCTATTTTTTCAATTTCATGTTTGCTCTCATGGGGATTCAACATTTTGTGGTTATCTTCTGAGTCTTTATCTTCAGTTTCATCTTTCATTTCTACGTCATGCACTTGACATGAAGGCCCCTCTTTAGTTTGGTGAGAACCACAAAAAGCATCATGACCATGAGACTTGCTAGCTGGTGCTATGTTTTCGCTATTATCACTAACACCAACACAATCACCAACACCAACACTCATTTCATGATTTCGCTTTACTACATCTCCATTGTCTGAGCTGCACTGTCTGCTCTTATTTGCCCACTGATTTGTTTCTGTCAATTTGTTTGGAATAACTGGCTCATCCTTATTTTGTTGATCTTTTTTTCTCTTCTCTTCAGTTTGGTGAGAACCACTAACAGCACCATGACCATGAGACTTGTTTGCTGGTGCTAAGTTTTCATCATCATCACCATCACTGACCCCAACACTCATATCTTGATTTTTTTTTTTTACTACACCCTCATTTTCATTTTCACTATTTGTTTCTGTCAATTTGTTTGGAATAACTGGCTCATCTTTATTTTGGTGATATTTTTTACTTTGCATCTCTTTAGGAGGATGACTGGCATCTATTTTGTTCATTTTATGTTTGCTCTCATGGGGATTCACCATTTTCTGCTGATCTTCTGCACTACTACTATTATTCTCTGTTGGCTGGTCCAAGTTTTTGTTTTTGCATTGCGCCACCTGACCTGACAGAATCTTCCTTGGGCCCCAGACAAAGGGTTCTCGGGGCTTGAAATGCTTAAAGGCAAATTTAACTAGCTCTCTTCTCTCTGACTTGTCCAATACAGCAAACATAAAGTAATCTAGTGCACTTTGCTTCACATTTTGAAGCTGTCCCATGACAAGAATTTCATTGAGGAAAAACTTGACCAGAGGGGCCTGGTAGTGCTTCAATCCTAGAGTCCCCAAACACTTCAGGATGCGTGTGATGCGCAAGTTGTTATGTGTATGTCTGCAAAATCAAAGGAAAAACAATTTAGCCCTAAACGTGTTGAAACAACATCAACTGAAATGCAACCAATAAAAAAAAAAATATGAGAGTAAAAACCTGTTCAGGTTTCTAAAGCGGTCCTTCCAGTTAGGAGCACGAGCCACCTCTCCTGTTGATTCATCGACCAAACATATGCCGTAGAAATCCAACATGAGCTTATATGATTGCACCAATTTGCTCTTTGCTTCTTTATCTTTACGGAAAAGCTGGAAAAAAATGGAGCAGATGAATTTAAAGGGGTGGTTCATTGCGATTTCACTTTTTTGACGTTAGTTAGAGTGTAATGTTGCTGTTTGAGCATAAACAATATCTGCAAAGTTACAAAGCTGAAAGTTCAATGCAAACGGAGATATCCTCTTTGAAAATTCTGGCTGTTTAATGCCTACAAAAATGGCTCGTAGGGACTACAACGAGTTACTTCCCGGGTTCGTGACATCACAAACCCAGATAAACCCCTCCCTCAGGAAAAGGCAGCAAAGGGGGCGAGGCCATGCTGCGCTGCTTTAGAGAAGAGGAAGAGAAAACCTAAGGTGCAGGTAAAAATCTATTCATACATGAATCGCGATTCAGTCTTCTAACGATTCTAATGGATTCACAAGCTTCAAAATCAATGTTCTAAAGCAGAGGTTCTTTATACTGTTCATCGCGTCCCCCTGCTCTGCACACGCTCTGCATCTCTCTCTCCGCTCACTGTTCCAATTATACACTTATTTTCACATAGCTATGAGAAGCGTTATACATGCGTGCAGTTGCCGTACAGTATTAAAGCTTTAATCAGGATAAAACCGTATATGAAAAGCTAACAAGCAGTAGCATTTACAAATAACAGCATATCTAAAAGTACGAGACAACAACAAACAAAAAACATAGGCCTACCATTAAAAGCCGTGCTTGCACGGGTTCTGCACGATCCTCTTCAATAATATCCTCTGCTTCTCAATCGGGCTCAAACTGATAAGCGATATTAAAGACGCCATTGTTTACAATACAACCGGAGCACATGCGCTGAGGTGAGGGGCGGGATGATTAGACGTGCACTAGAGGCGGTTTAGCCAATCACAACACACTGGGCTAGCTAACCAATCAGATCCCATCATCTATTTCTGAGGGCGGGATTTCATAAAAACAGGAAAAGATCACCCTGTTTCTCAGAGAAGGGACAGAGCGGTGTGGAATAAAGGTTAATTATGTGAAAAATAATGTTTTTTTTTTTGTTTGTTTGTTTTTTTTAAACGAAGCATTAACACATGTTATACTGCACCCCATAAACACAATCAAGCCTAGAAAAAGACCAGTGAACCACCCCTTTAAGCATTCTTTATTTTTCAATATGCTGTAACCAGCTTCTGAACGGAGACTAATATTTCCTGAGAAATTCTTCCAGATAAATACTTTTTTAAGATGGTTAGTAAATAAAGTTGAAAAACCCATCTAAGTGAATGTTTTAAACTGACCTTTATTTCCTTTTTTGAGAGCACATGTGCTCTCCAATTCACCCCCGGCTCTTGTATTGGAAACAACCTGCAAAGTTTTAAAATGGTTAGTTGAATGATGGCCATTCAAACACTTACAACATACATAATAATTCAAACAGTGTTAACTAGAACTCCTGGATGAAGTGGAACAGGATCTAACCATTGAATGTAGGAGTGAACATCTTCCAGCAAGTCATATTCACCCGACCACGTCTGGTGAAAATCATTGATGTAAAGTTCTGCACAAACAAAGTAATATGTTAAAGCACAGCTCAAGGGAAAACAGAGCTCGAGTTGACTCAAGGGTTGCCAGGTCTTGTTTATTTTCTAGGTTCTACACAGTCGTTTACAGTAAATAGTCTAGATATCACAGTGCAGTGTTCTAAACATTGAACTGTTCACTCTGTCAATTGATGATTCAGAACTTGTCTGGGGCGAAGACGCTTGAATGCTTTTGTGTACTTAGTGCTGTGTAGTGTTTTTAAAAGTTAATGCATATATGGCCATAGTCCATACTCCAGTGTCCACACACAGGCCATGTGTCCATTGGAGTCACTTCCACTGATGTGTCGATTTATAAAATATTATTCCATTAATTTCTACTATTTGTGAAACTCTATGCAACGACCAAATTTACGTTTAGTGTTTCATATAGGCCTACAGCTCAGTTTTATGAGCGCCTGTCGATATCATGTTTGTAGGGGCCTCTAGTGGATGTATTTGGGAACAACGCTAGGTTTCCATTCTAACTAGTTTTGTACTTATCGTATTAGGACATTTGTACAAGAGGTTAAGATAATCAGTCAAACATACAATCAGGAAAATATGCCTATTTACTATGTAAAATGTATTTGAACGATTGTTTACAGAAACACGTAATCCAGAAAACCCGCAGTACCTCTGTAAACCACTGGGGGGCCTCAGTCCACATGCTGGGATAGAAGCATTGCAGGAGAGAGCCTCTGCTCAAAATATATGCAATGGTCTTTAGTAAATATCGTAGGCATTAAATTAATAATCTAAAGTGGTAATAAATCAATCCAGTGATAACTACAGCTGAGTAGAACTTCCAGAATTAAATTGAAAGTGCTTATTAAATTCCAATCCATGCGGGGTTGTAATGCCACATCAAGTTTGAAAACAAGCAGCTTTGTGAAATGTGAAAATGGTCCATAGCACAAAGTAAAATGCGGGAGCTTAACAAACCATGACGTTTCTGGATGTCATTTTACTGTAAAAGAATCTTCTCACAAAGCTAATAGTCACTCCTTGGCTTTTAAATTTCCATTTCCTAGTTTTTTTTTAATACCAGTGGTTTCTGCCTTGTAATTTTTGTAGTATCTGGCCTATCTACACCTAATTACACACCCTGACATAGACAGCAAGCACGTTTCCTTGCGATATGAAAAATTTAGAGGTGACTGGAAAGTTCAGTCATCATTTGTTACAATATAACCTTCAGAAGACCCCTAAGGCTTTATCATTTCATAGACCACTTAATACTGTAATTGCACATCACATTTTCCTCTTTTTTGAAAGTCTATTTCAAAGCTTGCGCATCTGGCAGAATTTGAACGGGAACAGATAAAGACAGCCTACCCAGATCAAATTTGTTAAAACCTTAGGCATTTGGTCCAAAAGATAACAAGCGCATCTTGACGGATTTATTTTTTATCTTAGCAAAATAAACTAAAAGGACAGAATAGAGGAGAATAACTACAAAAGTTGTTCCAGGGTAGAAATATGAACAGAGAATTATTCATGACCTCAGTCCATAGAAACTTGTAAAAGAGTGACGCTACACTTTGTCAGCACGCTTGATCTTCAAGAGAGGAGGGGCGAGTCAGATCCTTTGCAGCGACTCATCTCTAAATAATTCAACATGCTGTGGTTAAGCTTCACGCCATTTATCTCTGCTCGACTGACAACCATCAAACTTGTCACTCGCTTATGTTTCATTGCATTGAAGGGCTCTATTGATTATGCCTGCTGAGATTCACATCCTCTGAATGACTAAACAACAAATAAAACTATGAGTGGCCTCCATCAGCTTACTGTTTACATATTTCCTCAAGCTCTGATAGGAAAAAGTTTTTTTTTTTTGGCTGGCAATTCAGTATAAAAATAAAACAAAGTATCTTTGCAGTGTTAGACAACACATTATCATCCTTCTATTGTCTCATTAAAAACTCAATAGAGAAAAGTTTGATGCTTATTAGGCTGCAGTTTTCATGGTTGGCGAATTAGCATAGATTTTTCATACCATTTACAAGCTCTCATATCTAAGAAAGCTGGTTCAAATTAGCATAAAATGCATCGTTTCTGCTCAAAGGGGTAAAAAAAAGTGTGCACTGAGTTGCCAAGGAAACCAGTAAATGTTTGCAAATGAAGAGGAAAATCACTGTGCAGAATGAAATGTTTTAGAAACTGGAATATTAGCAAAGTGAGTTAAGTCTACAATGTCATACCTCCTTTTCATTCTCATTTAATCTGAATTATTTCATGTTGCACATTTTGAATATCTGCTGAACATATGCATTATCTAGGGTTCCCGCGGTCATGAAAAATGGATACAAATCAATATAAATATTGCAAATTATAGGCCTGAAAAATTTCTACAGTGAATTATTATTTATTTATTTATTTATTTTTACAGGTTTCCTATAATGAAGAAGCAAAAGATTTTTGGGGGGCTTTTAGCATCTTTTCAATTTTATATATGTATTTATTTGGAGTCATTTGTTCACAAAAGTATTACTGTTCACAACAATTAATTGATTAATTAATTCCAAATTAATTAAAGTCATTGTTAACAATTAATTCCAAAGATGACATACATCTAGTATCTCTATAAATAATTTATTTGAAAATCCTAATCCATTCACTATGACTGGAAAGGTTGTGGAAAAGTAATGGGAATATTATATAAATATATAACTGTGCAATATTATAATATCTGCCTAACCTGTCCTCTCATTCAAAAGACACTCCTGGGTATTTCTGTAAGCCTTCACTGATGATCTGACTAGTTATTATAGTTTGTCAGTTCTTGTTGGGCAGCTACAGGAGTTATGGGTACCCCACTGAAATGATGGGAAATGATAAATAGTACTGTGTTGAACTAGTTTAAAGGGTACAGCTAACTATTGTTCATCTGTTAGAGATGAACTTCACAAACAGAGTCAGGGGAACCGCATGAACAGCAATATCCATCAGCAGCTAGTGACAAGCTACCTCTATATACCAGCTCAAAGACCTCCAGAGTAGTTATTATTTCACTTGGCAACATTTCCATATTTGTTTTGCCTTACCATTTATTTTTCAATATTTCTGTCCTATTTTTAAGGACAAACATATGGCACATATAATTATATATTATTATTATTATTATTATTATTATGTAACAATTTATTTCCTGAGGATAGGATTTCTTAGTTTTTTTCTCTGTGCATTTGAAGGATCTAATGATTCTCTGTAGAAACCTGTGTTGCTTCAAGAGAGCTATGATACATTTGTGTTGTTTTATTTTCTTTCTTTTAAATTAATCATTTATCGTTGCGAGTAAATTATGACAGAATATTAATTTTGGGGTTAAATATCCTCTTACTAGAAAGCGCTTGTGAACTTGTGTTATTTTAATATATTCTGTGTTGGTTTACTACAAACCGAAATAACAGTTAATTTAAAGAAACAGAAATTGGAGGTTTATTTAATGAGAAAATCTGATATAGCTTGATTGAATGCCTGCCCTGAAACAGGGTTTACTGCACATTATCTACATGAATACAGTAGACCGAACTGTATGCTACAAACTTTCAGTGTCCTTTTAATCATGGCTGTATTGTTACATAAAGAGAAGCCTGGAGTGTAAAAAGCATGCTATGTATAATTACAGTAAATGCCAGCCTTGCTGAAAATGGTTGTATAACAAGAAGGTTAGGGCAGGCTGCTCAGAACCATATTTGTCACACAGTAGGTAACCGTTAGACGTTTCATAGACATTAAGAGCCTCAATCTTTACATTATAAGTCAAGACATTTTAGCTTGGAGGAGTGTAGAATAAACTCTTTTTTATTCCATTACTTCTTTCTGTGTTTGCAACCAGCATTTACCTTAATGCCATTATGAGGTCATAATAATGGTGCAACTCCCACAATAATTTGAAAAGTTGAAGCCCACGAGTTTGCCATCAAAACCACTTTGTGACAGAGGGGCTGCCCACCTCCAGTCATTGTGACCCTCTCTCTCCTGTTTCCGGCCCACGTCCAGCCTCACTACAAGAACATGGAGGCATGTGAAAATAAAACACACAGCATGTGATGAGGCACATCCAATGCTTTTTGCACCCTTTTACCACTGTATAAATCCAGCATTGTGTGTCTTATTTTGCTGAACATCCTTCAAAGTATATGCAGAAGGTATCCTTAAGTGCAAGCCAACTTTTAACCATTGACGCTCTTGCTTAAAGTGATAGTTCACCCAAAAGTGAAAATTGCATCATGATTTCCTCCCGCTTATGTCATTCCAAACCTGTATGACTTTTGTTCTTCAAATGTTTGATTACCAAAATTCTTTAAATTATCTGCTTTTGTGTTCTGCAAGATAAAAAAAGCATAATGATGACAGAATTTTTATTTTTGTATGAACGATCCTTTAAAGATGCCAGAGAATATGGCAGATAAATGTAGCCCTTTGTGGCAGATGTTGTAACTATATGATCTGTGTCTTCAAAATCATATTTCTCTATTCATTGCCATTTAATAGTAGCTTGCAAGCAACATATTAATCAATAATATTATAGGTTTAATGATAAATAAGAGTGTTCATGGTAAAGAAAACGGGGAAAAACATTTAAAATCTAGTTTAAAACACATGCCATATTCTTAGGAATAATTGTTTCTCATGGTTTTGAAAAAAAAAATGTTATAGCATTTATATATTTGTAAAGCATTTAAATATTGTTCTGCATGTTTCTGCATTATTTTGTTGGTGCATGATTAGTTTCTCAAATATTAATAAGCAAATAATAATAAAAGATAATGCCAAACTAGGTATTCTTTTTTTAAATGACTATAATTGTTTAGTGATTTTTTTCTTTATTATGATAGCTTTTCAACCTAAAAATCAACCTAGGAAATGCATTAACTAAAGAACAAATAAAATCGAAAACTCGTGGTATTGATACGCAAAAATGGACTTTGGCGTGCATACGCATGTGTTTGGCGTGGATATAATACGC